TGCTGTCTTCCTAGCACACTTTCCAAATTTTTCAGATTCCTAGGAAAGATTTCCAATTCAGTCACTGGACATAATGGTGATATCAGTGGACTGAGCATATTCTTGTACTTATTTCAAATTAAAAATGTCTTTTTCAGGAAAGGATTACTAGTTATTTGACCTCTATTTTTATTATATGGTTCAAAAATAATATTCTCAAAATTTAGATTTAGCTCAGTTGAATCCAAACCCCACCATATTACTTTATTAGGATGTGCAATGATATCTGTGATATGTCTTAACTGCTTGGCTACATTCGTTAAATCAGGAAGTCCCATCCCTCCTATCTTCTGAGCCTTATACCATCTCTTCTTGTTAATTCTTGCCTTTTTATCTCCATTACAAAACCTATTAATCATAAATTACAAATCTTTTATCTCTTCTTCAAGTAATTCTATTGGTAGCATCCTAAATAAAAAATTAATCTTGGATAAAATCTTCATTTTAACTATGGCTATTCTGCCAAACCATGATAATTTGATATTCGTATAATAAATTTTCACATTTCAATCTCTTGAAATTTTCTTCTCTTAATCTAGATAAATTCTTTGGTATATGTACTCCTGAATACTTAATTAAATTCCCAACCTTAATATTAAATTTTCCCTGAATAGATCTTTTTCTTATTATAATTAAACTTCATTGTATTTTCTGATCAAGTCTAAATTTTTATTATATGTGCATGGTGTAATAGCCTTGGTTCACTGATTTTTACTCTAGTGAGAGTTCAGGCTTGACTTGATTGAGCACCCACTTTTCTGCCTTTCTGGTTGTCTGTGGTACCTGCAAGGCTCACCTCCAACATCATATTTCAAATGATATTTTGTCACTTTCTTCACTGTGTTTCTTCCACATAGTATGGATGATTTTGACATTGGTTTCCAGTGACCATCTTTGCTAACTCCCAGCTCTACTTTTTCTCCTTAAATTTCAAAATACAAGTGGACATATTTTGCAAAACATAGGCACAACATGTTTGTAGAGCTTTTGATCTGATATAGTTTTTCTTCTGCAGGTTGCCTCCCCCAAGGAAAGGGTTTAGAACTACATGATGCCTTCTTTTGCTTAGTACTATTCAAACTTTTCAAATACCAGCCCTAGGAATTGCTTTATGTTTGGTGAGAAGTGGATAACTGATGGAAAAAAAGAGTCAGCTTCTGGGATTTTTCTTTGCATTGTATCATTTTGTGAATGGTAATGAGCACAGGAGGGCATCCTGTAGACCATCTTGACTGCTGCTTTTGATGTTGTCAACATTCAGATAGCCGTTTGCCATGAGTGTTGCGAGAGTGAGGACAGACAAAAGAAAATATTTATTTACCCAGCATGTTGTTAGTCTGTGGAACTGCTTGCCACAGGATGTGGTGATGGCGTCTGGTCTAGATACCTTTAAAAGGGGATTGGACAGATTCCTGGAGGAAAAGTCCATTGCAGGTTATAAGCCATGATGGGGATGTACAATATCCTGGCTTAAAAGGAAGGTACAGTACCTCCAAATGCCAGATGCAGGGGAGGGGTATCAGGAGACAGGTATGTACTTGTCTCGTGTGCTCCCAGAGGCATGTGGTGGGGCCACTATGAGATACAGGGAGCTGGACTAGATGGGTCCTTGGCCTGATCCAGCATAGCTCTTCTTATGCAAAATTTGGCATCCTTTTTCCTGCTATCAACATGGGCATGATACTGTGCAGTAATATTGGGACATTTCCTGACATTTTGTATTATGGATATAGAAACAAAATATCCCATATTCATAAACCTGTGTGCGTATATGTGTGTTTAAAAATTGACTATTAAATAGTGAGGGGATGGAACAGGGTATTTATATATATATATATTTAAAACATTTATAGCTTGTATTCGCGAAGGCTTTCACCGCTGGGATCTAATGGTTGTTGTGGGTTTTTCGGGCTCTTTGGCTGTGTTCTGAAGGTTGTTCTTCCTAACGTTTCGCCAGTCTCTGTGGCCGGCATCTTCAGAGGACAGCAACCTTAAAGACTTAGTCTGTGATCCCAAAAAGTAGTCTCAGGGCTACCGTTGAGACACAACAAGATGACACTTTGGTATGTCCCAGACAAACTCCCCGTTGTTGTTGTTGGTGACATTTTATTTATTTATTTATCTATTTGTTTATAATATCTCTTGAAATTACAAGAGGCAGCAGGAATCTTAGTGGGTGATTTCTTTTGCATGAAACCCAGCTGGAAATATTCCATATTTCTCCTTATATTCTTCATGTATTCATTTGGCTGTATTGAAATGTTTTGAAGTACACAAGGGTATATGATCTAGAGTCTCTGGACGTCCTTGGCCATACCTGTGCTTTTACACCATTCTCATGCTAAGGATAGAACTGCAGCATAGAAAAGGCTGTTCACATTGTTCCTATAGCATTTGATTTCTTGGGGTAGCCACATGACAGGTCTTATAAAAACTTTCTTCAAATTTATCTAGCCTTTTCGTCTTGAATAACAAGAGACCTCCTGTCATCTTCATGGCTTTTGATCCTGTCTGGCCCAACTCTCTCTCCCCTTTGCCCCACCCCACCCCATCTAGCTTTTGCCTTTTGTCTGCTTCCTTCCCTCCTGCCTTTATCTCAATTGATTTCACTGGAACTAGACCTTGCCCTCCATCTATCTCTGTACAAGCATCAGCCTAGAATATAAGGACTCTTCATCTGAAAACCTGACTTATTGTCCGTGTTGCAGAGTGCCTTTTTTCATTTATGTGACTTCAGAAGGGGGCAAAAACATTTGAGAGGACACTGGACATGTAGAACAGAAGCTAAAATGTTTCAAAAATGAAAGAAAAGCTTTTTAGTCTTTATTGTATCTCTGTGTATGCCTAATTATCACCAACAAAATGCACACACCCTTCATATTACTTGTTCTCTGTGGCCGGCATCTTCAGAGGACAGCACTCTCTGTTGTCTGAAGATGCCGGCCACAGAGACTGGCGAAACGTTAGGAAGAACAACCTTCAGAACAAGGCCAAAGAGCCTGAAAAACCCACAACAACCATTTATAGCTTGCCTTATGTCACAGGATCTCTGTATAGGGTATAGATAGCTAAAATCTTGAATGAGATCATTGCGATGTTATAATGGTGAAAAGTCACACAGATATAGTAAAGTGTGTAGGACAAATGTAAGAATGACAATTACCGGCTTCATTTCACTTATCACACATTTAACTTAAATTGTTTAAATGGTGTTAAAATCTATGGGTGGTATTTTGATAGATGTCCTTTGTGCCTTTTTGGAAGAATGATGCTGAAACCTTTATCTGAATCTTGGAGGTAGGAAAATAGAGATCATCCTCACAGTTTTGTGCTAGATTTCAGAGTGTGCCAGTTGCCTCCAAAAAGTAGTTCACTTGTAAGATTGATTCTCTGTTCCCCAGCTTTCAGGGATTTTATTAGCAACTAAATTTTTTTCTTGGTACATTCTCCTATTACACTAACTCTGACCTGTGGAAACTTGCATTAAATTTACTGCCATCCAAATATTGTCACTACAGTTACAAGGTGACACTGATAGATGTAAGAGAGGAAGATGTTAAGGTTCGTATTATAGTGTTCAATAGAGAAATGGCCTCAATGCTTTGGTTGGGTGACCACTGCCCATTTGATATATTAATGGAAGTTGAATGACAGTTTGTAGTCATAGAAAGCAGAACTGTTCGGGTTTAATTTTATTTTATAGCCAATGTGGAGGGAACAGGAAAAGTGTTTAAAAATCATTTTGCAGGTTTGAGTCATCCTACATGACTGTCCAGTTAAAATATTTTTCAATGCCCTGTGGGGGTCAGATGCTGAAAACTACCACACGTGCTAAATTGACAATACGTACAGTAGTCATGAGCAGAAAACAAACTGCTGTCTGTCTGAAAAATGGTTTAACTTCAGGGCGACCTGAGGATATAAGGGATTGAGGAGAAAAATTTGTTCTTGGCAGCTGTAAACATTGCTTACCTGGAAAACTAATATTAGAAAAGGGATATATATTTAGTAGTCTTTTGATGTTGAGCAGCAGCTGGAGAGAAAAAAGCAGGCAGCCAGCTCAGATGATCAGCCAGCTCCTTAGATCACCAACTGCTTTTGAGTCGCCATTCAGAATTGTTTCTTTAATATACTTACAGTTTGATAGTAATTTATTTCACATAGTCTTGCTTGCATTTATGTTTCTGGAATAAAGTTGATCGTTCAAGAATATAATGGACTTTTTCCCAATGATAGTTTTATCATTGGGAAAGAATAACGAACAGGAGAGCTTGCTCTTGCACAAAGATAATCTGTGTTAAATGTTTTTTGGATGCTGAAGTTTGTAGTACCTTAATGTCAGGATTGATTTTTTGTTAGTAAGCATATACAAAATTAATAGACTAGTAGAGATTGATCATCATGATTTTCATTCTTACACTCCCTATATTTAAATTGAATAGTATTTTCTGATATCATTTGGTGCTGTCACTACGGTACATATATATGTATTAACACTACATTTTTAGCATCTCAATCTGTTGAAAGTAGTATGAAATGACCTTTTTTTAATTGAATGGCATGACTGCTATTCTCTCACTTTAAAGATATATGTGTATATGTTCAAAGCCTCTCCATTCTCATTGTGAAAATATAAGCAGGAGACTTGTGCTGTGTTTCATACCATATTGCAAAATAAGGTTCCGTCTTGAAAGCCTGAAATGTTGCAAATGGAGAACACGCATCTCAGAATGCCAGGTCACGTATGAACATTCAGCTCTGCGTTTCCATTTTATAAACACTGGTTTTGATATTTCATTGAAGCCACCTTGAGAATCCTATTGAGCCTGGAATGCAGGAGAGAGAGAAGTCAAGATCTATCCCAATTCTTTGTCTTGTCTGTGTTTATTTCTTACATATTTTCATTCTTCATATTTCAAGTGACTTGACCAAAATATTGTCTTTTTGTCTTTCAAATTTAGGTAACCTAATCCATGGGTAAAGTTGGGAAGATGTGGAATAGCTTCAAATACAGATGCCAGAATCTTTTCAGCACTGAAGGTGGGAACAGAAGTGAAAATGTAGATGGAAACTGTAATACATCAATTCAAGATAAAAGTGTTTTCGTGCCTGACTCAGCTGAGCAACAACCAAACAGTCCTTTAAGAGATGTTCCTTTACAGCTGGGTCTAAATATTTCAAAAAATTCTTCAAGAAAAAATCAAAACTGTGCCACAGAAATCCCACAGATTGTGGAAATAAGCATTGAAAAAGAGAGTGACCTGGGTGTTACTACAGGAGCTAGGATTGCACGAAGGGATTCCTACTCACGACATGCACCATGGGGTGGTAAAAAGAAGCATTCTTGCTCTACAAAAACCCAGAGCTCTTTGGAGAATGAGAAAAGGTTTGGCCGTTCTCGGTTGCAGAGGCGAGAGAGAAGATACGGTGTGAGCTCTGTTCACGACACAGATAGTGTCTCAAGCAGGACTGTGGGGAATCGTTCTCTGCGGCAAAGACTGCAAGACACTGTGGGATTATGTTTCCCTATGAGAACTTACTGCAAACAGTCCAAACCTCTGTTTTCTAACAAAAGGAAAATACATCTTTCTGAACTTATGTTAGAAAAATGCCCTTTCCCTGCTGGGTCAGACCTGGCCCAAAAATGGCATCTAATTAAGCAGCATACAGCTCCAGTGAGCCCCCACTCGAATCTTTTTGATGCATTTGATCCATCTCTGGCTTCTACAGAAGACGAAGAGGATAGACTCAGAGAAAGACGGAGGCTCAGTATTGAAGAAGGAGTTGATCCTCCTCCTAATGCTCAGATCCATACCTTTGAAGCTACTGCACAGGTGAATCCATTATACAAACTGGGGCCAAAGCTGGCTCCTGGTATGTCTGAGTTGACAGGAGAATGTAGTTCATCACCACAGGGAAGTTCTGACCTGGAGGAAGACACAACTACTCTTTGCTTGCAGTCACGCAAGCAAAAACAGCGCCAGATGTCTGGAGAGAGCCATAGCCACATCAGCAGGCAAGGAGCTTGGAAAGTACATACTCAGATTGATTACATACATTGTCTTGTGCCAGACTTACTTCAAATTACTGGTAATCCATGCTACTGGGGAGTAATGGACCGTTATGAAGCTGAAGCACTTCTGGAAGGAAAACCTGAAGGGACTTTTTTGCTCAGGGATTCTGCTCAAGAAGATTATCTCTTCTCTGTGAGCTTCCGCCGCTACAACCGATCTCTACATGCACGCATTGAGCAGTGGAACCACAACTTCAGTTTCGATGCTCACGATCCATGTGTGTTTCACTCCTCCACTGTTACAGGGCTTCTAGAACACTACAAAGATCCTAGTTCTTGCATGTTTTTTGAACCATTGCTTACAGTTTCCCTAAATAGGACTTTTCCCTTCAGCTTGCAGTACATCTGTCGGGCTGTAATCTGCAAGTACACTTCGTATGACGGGATTGATTGTCTCCCTTTGCCATCAATGTTGCAGGACTTCCTGAAGGAGTATCATTATAAGCAAAAAGTTCGAGTGCGATGGTTGGAGCGGGAACCAATTAAGACAAAATGAACAGAGATGATCCTCAGTAAGCTCACTAGAATCTGTGCTTTTTGTGTGTATAACTGCAATAAGCACATCAATGTTTAGCCTTTTTGTTGCTGTTGTTGTTTTTTGCAATATTGTACTTCAGGCTTATTGTATCAGATTATGTCTGCAGTTGATCAAGGCTAGTTGTGAATACCTCTTGAAACAACATGCAGAATACAAAAATCACATGTCTGGGTGTTTTTTTAAATGGAGGCTTTAAGGTTATAATCAGCCAATTCTGAACTGTACTTTTTCTACTGCAGTTCCTATAGTAATTATGTAAGGCAGCTACTGGGTATTGCCCTTAGTTCCATTCAATTTCAGATTTCTGAACAAAGTGGGCTGCTGGCATTTTTGTTTGCTTATTTGAGTATAAGCACTTAAATGTCAACACATATGTTCTAATATAGTTGTTTCCTCAGCAACAAAACAGAATGCTACACTTTTCAAAGTTCAGTTTCTCCCTTGTCAATTTTTGCATTAAAGCTGTTTGTGGAGAAAAATCCTGAGCAACAGGGAAACTGTGCCATCACCTGGCACTTCTGAAAATCAATCATGTGCATTAATGAGCATTTGTATGCATCTTGCTCTTTAGCAAACTTCTTTTTTCTAAATAGAGTTGTCTCCCATTTAAAGGCATTCAATGAATTAATCATGCGAAAATAGATTAATCAGCCACATAAATCTACATTTGCACAAGAGTAGAATAATAATTCTAAAAGGAAAAAAACACATCCCAGTCATTGACATCATCCGCACAGAATGCCTAATATGGTGATTCAGAAGAGGCTTTAACCCTACTGCAGCTTCCCCAATTTGTTACCTTCCAAGTGTGTTAGACTAGAATTCCCATCACACTCCTGCCACCACTTCTAATGTTGGATGATTGGGGTTGCATTCTGACATATCTGAGAGGTACCACATTGGGGAAGGGTGGCATGCTGTTCAGAAGGGGCAGTGCCTTGTGTAAAATGTAATTTGCTATTTAGAGAAGGAAAGGGCATGTTATTTCTTTAATTTTAAAAAGTGCTCTGTTATTTAGAGACACCTTCAGTCAATCAAAAGAAGGTTTAATTACTCAACCATTGCAAATCTATAAATATGAATAATCTTAGAACTGCAGAGCTGAAAGGGGACCGTATAGATCACGCTTGTCCAACCTGCGGCCCAAGGGCCGGCTTGCGGCCAGAATGTGGCTGGGGCATGTCACAACAGTAGAGGGGGAGAGAGGGAAGGAAGGAAGGAATGGGAGGGGAGGGGACAGGGGGCTGCGTGACTGCATTGCGCTGTCCCCGTCAATAGGTGGACCCCCTCCCGGCCCCATAAAGCTGCCGGAGTTGAAGCTGGCAGCCTCTGCTGTCTGAGATCGCAGCTGCAGGTAAGCGCGCTTGGAGCGGAGCTGCGGAGGATGGCTAGGGCTGCCCACCCCAAACCAAATTTTCATCTTCTAATGTGGCCCAGGGAAGGTGAAAGGTTGGACACCCCTGGTATAGATCATCAAGCCCTCCTCCTGTCAAGGAGGCATAGTGGGGAAACAGACTCTCAACCGTACCTGAGCCACTGAGCTATCTAGCAGTTCTAGCTCTAAAACCAAAAATTTTAGCATACTTAGAAACTTTCAGTAACTGATAACTAAGCCAGATACTTCTTACTATTAGAATGAACTAAGTCCACCCATTAAAACACAAACACACATACACTTGTAAAATCGAACTGATTCGCAGAGCACTGGTGGTCCATATACTGTACTTAATTAATTCGTTTAATCTGTAGAAAGATTGTATGTCATTGATATCTGTAATTGATCCTGCACTTGATTTATTTTTCTCACAATGGAAATTGAGACAATTTTGACTAGGAGTGGATTATTGAGTATTCCCCGGGATAGGATATTTTATTCTCATGGTATTGGCACAATTTGCTAAAAATGTTTTTTGTAAACATGTACAAATTAAAGGAGTTCTTCTTTGGCTCAGGGCTCCCAGTTTCCATGAAATGCCACTGATTGATTATATCAATGCTGTTGCGGAAGAAAATAAGTCATTAAAATGATACATGCTTTGATTTGTAGGAAGTTACAGTGGGTCTCAGATGACCACTTGACAAACTTACTTTCAATCAACTAGCCTGCAAAAAAGTTTACTGCTGCATTAACCTATTTTTGAATGGTTCAAAACAGTATTTTAACCCATCTGCAAAAAAACTGTAAAGACCATCTAGCTCAATATCAAGCAGATTCAGAATAGTCATTATTACACTCTTACCTTTCATTCTCTACTCAGTGCATCAGAACTAAAGTTTCAGGCTTTGTAGGTACTATTGTATTTGTAAGCAGTGTAGCACTTTTTTTGAGTAATTTGTAGATTGTGTTCCTCCTTGAGCAAAAATAATTCAGAAACCTTGCTCTCTTGTCCCCCACCCCTTTGTGGACAGAACATAACCAGTTTTGTCCTAGTTGTGTTTGCACTAAAATTTGTGTTTGAGTACAGAGTCTTTTGTTTTTTTGCTTATGTATCTTGTACTAATGAGTAATGCTCCTTGTTTTCTAACCAGTTGCTACAGTATGTTCTTTTCCATGGCAGTCATGGAGGTAAGAAAACTTCAAAGCAACATATACAAGAAAACTTACACTTGTATGCCAGCACTAACCAGTTTATTAATACAGTATGTGTGTTTTTCCTCTGCTTGCTGTGCCTTGTTACAGCGTTTTTGTGCTAATAAAGTACAGTATTTTCAGTGTTGTATATTTTGTTCTTTTATATTTGTATAATTTTTCTTGTAGTAAACATTTTTAATAAGCTTTATCTTTTATTTAGTATATTTTGCATAAATAATTGGCAGTTGTTCATTTTATGTCTGGTTACAGACCTCATCATAAATACATTTTGCAGAACAACAAGAGACAGACATCTCCAAGCATTTGAGGTCATTTCACACATAACATGTAGGAGATGTGGATTTTCCATAACGTACCCTCAGCGATGGACAGAACTGTATGGGTATTGTTCATTTCATCTAAACATTACATTTAGAAGTGTTTTTGATGTTTGATGTGTGCCTAAAAAGAGACTAAATTTTTGAAGATGGTATTTCATACTATAGCCATTGATAAACCAAAGATCGGAGTAGGTTTGCCTATGGTATCTCTACTATTGACCACTTCAAAAATGGTACGTAGTAAGCCCTTCCAGTTAGAAACATAAAACCCATATATATATGCTTTGAAGTGTGTGTGTGTACACACACACACACACACTGCCCGTATATATACAAAGGTTGTTATTGTTGTACCTGTTCTTGTTTAAGCACATCTTATTGTATGTTGTATTTTGAAAGTCTGATTCAAAGATTTAAAGTGTTCCAGGTGGTCTAAAGACCAGATGAAGTTTCTCATCAGATGGATTAATCATTTGTGACACTGGAAAAGTTATTACGTATACAAGCCTTTCCCACTATGATATCATCTATATATATTGGAAAGCACTGCTGACCATGCCCAGTCAAGATGGCCAGCATCTGGATAGCACCAGATTGGCAAAACTGGTTTATGTGTTTCATCTTCCACCAGGCTAAATATCTTTCACGTTTGCACTAGTCATTCTATAGAGGAAAGCGTTGAATTAATGTTAGATTCAGGCTCAAAAAACAAGAAACAAAAACCCCAAAACAAAAGAAAAAACAGATATATGGTTTCAGCCATCCATCAGAGGAAATAGCTAGGGCTGTAATCCTGTGCCTAAGTGTAAAATACATTTAACTCAGTGGGTCTTAGTTTTGAGTAGATGAATATGGGGTTTTACTATAAATCGAATTTATATTTCATTATTGTCTATTACATACATGTTGATAAGTTGTGGCAAAAGGTAATTTATTAATTCAGATATTAACTGATATCTAACATGTAAAATGCACATAAATATGAGTCCTGGTTCAGACGCTTTCCTCTTAATATGGCAGAAGATGAAGAACCTGCTCTCCCCCACATACATAATCCAGCTTTTGTTATATACATGGTGTCCTGATTTGAATGATGTTCCCTATTCAAAGAGGATGAGAAAAGGAGAAAATGTGTATCACTTCCTGTACCGAACACTTTCTGTAGCTTGCAGGGGTCTGCTTGTAATTTTTCGATGCCAACAACATTTTTTAACCAAAGAAAATTTAAATACCAGGGTGGCGTTATAATATGATTTAGATCTTTTTTTTTAAAAAAAACCACTAATTTTTATTCACCCTGTGAAGGACCTTATTTTAAAATTCTAATTAAATCAATGAAACCAAAATATTTTAATTTTAAGATGCTTGCATGTAATGGTTAGTGTTCCATATTTATACTCATGAGGAGCTGCCACAGCAGCAGTCTGATGAGGTATGAACCGTGTGTGACCAGGTAGCTGGCATCTTGTCAAATCACTGCATCAGCTTCCTCAACTGGAATTCTCTGTATGTAAAATATCGAACAGGATATTGGCCCCAGTTACATGCTATCAAGTGAATTCTGACTAAAGCAATGCTCCCAAGGTTTTCTAGGTACAATGTATTCAGAAGTGGTCTTCTGTGACCATGCAGCTTGGCCAGGACAGCGCAGCAAGCAAGGCACATATTCTTTCATCCCACACATGCTTTGAGTAATCTCAACTGGCCTCTCCCATTAACACAGAATTTGAGTTCTCAGTCCCTGGATCTGCAGTCAGGCTCTCCAATCTACTTACCTCTGATAGCTCTTGAGTACAATATATTGCTCCACAAATAAGAACAAGATATATTATTTTGATTTAGTTCGTAATTTTGTAAACGCAATGCACAGTCAACAAAATGCTCAGTCTTTCTACTTCAAGACATGGAAACTTCCATATTGAAAAGAAATTAGACTTCTAGAGATTGTTTTAAAGATACTAGTTTGAAAAGCAATCTCATTTCATTAGGATTTCAGGTATGAGAACTCATTTTCTAGAAATGGGCTTCTTAACTGTTGAGATGACCAGATGCTTATTTTTTTTTCTAGCTTAGCACTAAGTGTGCCAAATGAGATTTCAAATGTTATTACATTTTAAATGTTACCACGTGATATTTTGACATTTATTCCAAACGTCCATATTTCTCACTGTTGTTATATGTGAGCATGTAAAAACCAATGACTTTGCATTTAGGTATGTCTGTGGACTTTTAGTTTTAAGACCTGCTCTGAAACTAGTTGCTTACATTAAAAAAATAACCAACATGACGAAGTGTACCTTCCCTCTTTCTTCATAATTGGTTTCTGTTGGATTCTATAGTGGTTAGGTTTTTGCTGTCTTGAATGCTTGTTTGGTGTGAATTCCTTTAAAATGATTCAGATCAGGCATTTGATTTTTGTATTGCAACAAATATAAGTTAAATAAGCAAGAAAGAGTCAGACACGACTTAACGACTGAACAACAACTGCAACAAATATTCTTAAAGCAACATTTCGTAGAAATAGTTACCGTACACTAATTTTTGTGGAACCTACTTGCTGTTTCACCTACTAAAATGTTCTTGTGCATTACTTTATATGTTCTAAGGTTCTAGGGTAGGAGAAGGGATTATACATACAGCAGGCAAAGTATGAAAGACTTTCCTCCAAACAGCAAGCGTTTTAGTAGTGCAGCTGCCAAAACTGTGCTGCAGACTGTGGAAGTGGTAGTGTGGCAGTGAACACATGAAAGCTTTTTGTTACACAACTGGTTTCTCTTCCTTTCCAGTCTAGCTTTAAAGGGTGAATCTGTGATGCAATCCGTTTTTCTTCTAGTCGGCTGGTGACTCATCAGAAAGACTGTTTTGCTTTGTCTTCAAAAAAACCTTACACTCTATATTTCTAACATTCTAGGCCCCCCTGCATTCTAGGCAATAAAATATGACGGCAAACCAGGAATGTAAATATAAAACACAAAATTACATCATAGGCCATGAAAATTAATAAACATACCAACAGAAATGTTAAAAATGGTAAAAGTTCTGGGTGAGCAG